AACCGGTCCTATCCACTCTATTCCTCTCAATTCTAAGTCCCTTAGGTCACCTGATACCTAGAAAATTTGGACTTAGGCATTTGAGTCAAAACTCACAGTGCTAGCCACAGATCATTGGGTCTCACTTCTTACTGCTCCTGGATGATGCTATCTCTACTCAATACTCTACAACTGGCTATGGTATTATACCTCTAGCTGTCTTAGAATATACTTGTCTTAGTGGCATATAGAATTGGCCCCATTTGAGGTACCATTTCTAAGTCCAACTTGGACTTAGTATTTTCCAAGGTGTGGTGCTGAACTTTTCTAAGTTCAAACATGACTTAGGATTTTTATCCTTAGGCCATGTTATTTTACAAAGTCCAATTTGGACTTAGTATTGGTGACCAGCATGACTATCAGCTCGGGGCCTCAGCCATAGTCCTTTACTGGCTAATGATTCTCAGTTACTAGCATATTCTAGTGTGTTATGCAGAATTTGCAAATTATAGAGCTGGACATGTAGCCTGCATATCACCAAAAGCGATAGCTATGATGCAATCATCATCATAGTCAATCACTCCTCAAAAGCCATCATTCTGATTGCTTGTTCAACAGAACTGACATCTGAAGGATGGGCTAAAATCCTACAAGATGAGGTATATGCAAAATATGGAATGTCTCAAGTAGTGATTTCAGACAGAGGACCACAATTCATGTCCAAATTTTTGGACAACTTATACCAGCTCCTCAACATCAAATGAAATGCCTCAACAGCATATCATCCACAGACAGATGGCCAAATGGAACAGGCCAACCAAGAAATTGAAAAATACCTTAGACTCTTCATCAACTATCAACAGGACAATTGGACTGAATGGCTAGCACTAGCCACCTTCCAACATAATAACAGAATTCACTCAGCAATGGGCAAAACACTGTTCTTTGTGAACTATGGATGGAACCCACCAGTTGCACAAACAGGGGGAGCTCACATGACAATGCTGGCATCAATGAACTTTGCAACAACAATGGCAAAAATCCACAAGAAAACCAAGACAGCCCTCAAAAAGGCTGCTTCAGCAATGAAGAAGCAATATGACAAACACTGACACCCATCGCATCAATATTCAACCAATGACAAAGTTTGGTTGGATACAACAAATCTTCATCTACCAAGACTGAAGCAGAAGCTCACAGACAAATGGACAGGACCATTCAAAGTCATTGCCAAAATCAGCAACTCCACATACAAGTTGCAACTACTTGCAACTTGGAAAGTTCATAATGTTTTTAATGAAACATTGTTAACACCATACATTGCTCCTGTCTTTCCAAACCAGGAATGACCACCACCACCTCTGCCAGACCTCATCAATGATGAAGAACACTACAAAATTGACAAGGTACTAAACTATAAAACCTGAAAGGTTAAAGCATGAGGCAGAGGCATGAAAACAACCGTTGACTACCTAGTCAGCTGGAAAGGTTATGGACTGGAATCTAACCAATAGGTTAACAAAAAATATATGAATGTGGAAGAGGCAATTCAAGACTACAAACACAAAATCAACAAGGTGGACACAGAGAGGGTCATGTTCAGCATTATCCCTGAACAAATACATCCACTTGCAGTCAATGTCTTCATGAATCTGCAATCACATCCTATGATGGGTCCAGCAGATTGGCCACCTGGGAGCAGCAGAGGACATGTTAGGGAGAATGGAGAGGCTGACCCTGTGATGGACAAGCCAGAAATAGTGTGACAACAGAACCAAGCCATCTGCCATCTGCAGAACATCAAGCAGAGGACATACAATGAAGAGCAATCTCCAAGCAAGGATGGAGATGCTGACATTGTGCCTGGCCAGGACAACTTATCCTAACTTAACCATCAGGATGATGGTCTTAAGAAGGGGGTAATGTTACTATTTTTCCTATTTTTCTTTCTTTTTCTTTTGGAAATGACCCCTATCTTTGCTTAGTCAGAGTGCTTAAGCCAGCACTTAGGACTGTGGGAATGCTTAGCTCAGCAACCCAGTCAGTCATTGTTTTATCATGGCTGTGCACTGTGCAGGGAGAGATACTGCTTCTTTTGTCTCCCAATTGCAGTGCAACAACAACAGCACAACAGCAAGACAACAGCTTTTGTAGAGAGCCTGGCAACAGCAGGGGTAACAGCTCTACAACAGACAATATCTTTTGTGAACATTTATTAATAGCCTGATAACAGAACAGTATTTAAGTAGTGTAGCTCTTGCTGTAATACCCCAGCTTCAAGCTAAAGTTTATTCTCTACTATTCTATCTTGAGCGACTTGCAAACACCTTGACCACACACCTCTATTGACACATCAGTGAACTCAGACAGTCTAACCCAAAGTGTGAGGTTCTGAACTGTTTATCACATGTTGATAGTCACATGGAGTTTGGGCTTAACACATGTAGTGTGTCAAGATGAATTGTCTGCAAGATGAATGGGAATGACATGTGGAGCATAGAGTCAGAACCATTGTTGGTGAGGGGTCATATGATGAGAAGCACCTGTATCAGTATTCCAATGAGACATGGCAGATGATGATAAATCAGTACTTGCTTGGCTAGCAGTCTCCTTCTTTGTCTCAGCAGAGTTAGCAGCTTCTGAATCCTTCTTTTCAGTCCCCTTGTGATGATGCTTCCCAGCAGTATGGTCAGTGGCATGTTCACAGTCCTGTTTAAGTGAGAGCTTCTTGGTTATACACTCTTCCTCTGCATGATTCTCATGAAGGCACCATCCACATTTTGCAGTGGCATTGGTAGCTGGATTCATGGCTGAATGGAAAGGTGTGGCTTTAAGAGCAACAGAGACTGCTGGATCACTGGCATGCAGCTTCTGATTGTTTTCTTCATTGTGAAATGCAGTGCAGAGTCCTTCAAGAGTGAGCTTATTGGAGAGAAGAAATAGTGATATGATGAAGTTTCCAAATTCAGGCTGAGAGTGTGCAAATCAGGGCCATAACAAGAAGCTCTTCTTTTAACTGCTGGAGACCAAAATGAGCAGGGTGCAGAGCATGGATATGACTCATGATTTGAGTGCCCTGACTGGCAAGGTCTGGAAGTGACTCTTCTGTCTCCTTCTTGAGATTGAAGAAGCTGTTGTAGGCTACAAATCAAGTTGCTGGTTTTCTTTGCTGATGGTGTGCCTTTAATGTGTCCCACATCCTCTTTGGATTGTCAAGGGAGCTCTTGACATGAGCCTTCTGGGATTCATCAAGGCAGAGGTAGATCATGCCAGTGGCCAATACCTGAGTCTCCTTCCAGTCCTTCCAGTCCTTCTTCTCCTGATATGTTGGCTTCTCAGGGTCTGCAAACTCTGGTTCAGGGTCACAGCAAATGGTAATAAGGTACTTGCAGTGAGTTTTGAGTAAGGCTGACATGTTTTCTTCCCACTCACCATAATTGGAGGCATTTAGATTATTGAAGCCCTTTTTGATTGTGTTGAAGGATGGCATGATGTATGTGGTGATATTGTTTCAGTAGTGAAGTGACTGATGGAGAGATAGCAGGGCACAAGCAAGATGTGAAGATGAAAAAAAACTCGAAATAGGCCTTAAAATGTGGGGCCCATAACCTGTTGCAGGCAGGTTATTTTCATGCAGTGAATAATGGCCAGGCTGAGTATGATGGTCAATTGCTTAAAGGCAGTTGACCATCAACTCAGGACAAAACTGTCTATGCTTATATAAGGTTGACATCAGGTACTTGTGTCATCCTGCAACAGGGACCATAGAAGACCTGAACATTTTTATTGTCCTCAAGGTCCAAGTAGCAGGATGTATTTTCCGAGTTCAGAGCACAGTAAAAGCAGTGATATTGACATATCTGCATTGTTAGATGAGCATTGTATGAACAAAGCAAAAGGCAAGTTGTCTCCATCTGATCATCTTTTGACAAGAATGAAAGATCCTTAATGCAAACAATCAATAGGCACATGAACATGGATTTGCCAGCTCCCACTTTCAAAAGATAGACCTGCCCTCAGTTTATCCGAACGAACGAACAGAAATGCAATCTGAATTGCGGCGCCAGCCTCTCTTAACATCCAGGCCTTTTACGGACCAAATGAACACCCGACACACCAAGGCGTTGGCGCGGTCATATTGCACTTGATTCGATCTTTCGCGACAAACCGGTCACAACTCGGCCAGTAATAGACCAATGCGTCGGCGGGAATTATATATCGGCAACTAACATAGCAGACAGATGCAGGCTTTACGCAGCATGGCCAATACATCTTTATATCTCCTGGCCGACGTGCTAGAAAAGGCAGGTGAGCACCAGATTCGGTCTGAATAGAGATGAACATCATATATCGTATTTGCCACTTCATACGGAAGGAGTCATCGGTTGAAGGCTAGTCAGAGTTCCGCTAGCAAGGGAATGAGCCAAGGAAGGAATGACAACGATAAGCTCGCGTTGTTGGATGCGGACGGCGCGTTTTCAGCGCAGGACGCGAAACACGGATGCAAAAATATTACTCTAGACTCAAGAGTACACATGGAACGAGTCGTGAGTGCACCAAGTCCAACCCCAATTCCAGGTGAATCATCATCTTTACATGTGCTCTTCTTGGCCCAAAGTCGTTACCGGGTTTGAAATAGTTCGTCAGGCTAAGGCAACGTTATTATTACATCAGTACGCAACTCCTTTCCGTATGTAACAGACGAAAAAGCAATGCATATTAACGCCATGTCGACGTCAAAGTCTGAGTAGTACCCGAAGTCACAACCGTAGCTTCGCGATTCGGGTCAGATTCCCATACCACCTGAGTTACAAGGTTTGTCAGTGTCAGTGTCTGATGGTCCTAAGCAGGTCCTAGGACTCACAGAGCCGTCCGTTTCTATCCTTATAAATTTATATTGGAAGGTCGTACCCGCAGGGATGCTAACAGTGACCTCCCATACAGGATAATCGCTTGCCGAAAGAGCAATCTTGTAAAGAAAACAGTTATATGACGGACTTGACAAACAAATGAATAAGTAAATGCTTACAGAGGAAGCAGGCGCCCAGTCTCCCAGTTGTGATATACTACCCACCAGGAAGATATTCTAGACAAGTGGAAGTAAGTGAAAAAAAAAAAACAGTCTTGACGAGCAAAGGCTCACCTCGCCCCAGGTCGTAGTAGCAGTTTCGGCAAAAGTCACTGCGACAGGATCGGGGGAGGTACCCGTACCTAGAAACAGCATTTGAGCCAGGCTTCGCATGGCAGACAACTCGCGTTACCTTTCGCGCCTGTATGGATGGCTATTGCACCGTAAGCCGGAACTGTTGCGGTAAACGAGCCGCCGGATACGGTGAACCTTGTTGAATAGGAGATATCAGAGGCAATGAAAAGTCTTCTATGGGAGGACGAACACACCCAAAGCCGGTACAGGTACCATCGGAGCTTGTTCCACTGATGACATCGCAATACGAGCCGTCTGCTAACGAGCTCGTAAAGCTTGTGGTCCAACTAGAGGATGCGTCATTGATAGCCACGAAACCAGCGGACTCTTGGATAGATATCAGTGGATCGACCACAATATGAGGGGGGAGAATATAGAAAGTCACACCTCGTCCAAAAGCGATTTGCGAGGATTGGGGTGACACCCAGTCTGTCAGCGCGGCAGAGCCTACGTTGTTACGGAAACCGACCATGCCGGTGAACGCGACCCATCGATGCTGGCAATACCATCCGTTCGCTCCTCCCGTACCCGAGCATGTGCCTACACCTGGCAAAGGTTTGGTAGGAAGTTCCCGTAGAGATAGAAAGCCTAACATACCACCGTTGGGGGCACCATCATCATATGACGAAAATTCGTAACTGGAAAGAATAGTGGGCGTTCCGTAGGGGTGAGCAAGCGAGAATATCGTAGCAATCTGAGATGAGAATCAGCTCCACGAGCTGGTTGAAGGCAGAGGAGATACAAACCACGTAGGCGTTGTTAGAAGAGTTGACATTGAGAGAATTACCGTTCTGAGAGAAACATCATCAGGTCAGTCATCATGAACGATTGCTTTATGGCGTACCCTTTCAGTATCGTGATCAGCTACGAATACGTTGGCCTGCGACCCAGATATCCATCCTATTTCATCATTGGATATCACGAACTGTGTTTGGGACGAGAGTACTGACCTTGGTCATCCAGGTTCTCTAGTCCGGAAATGCTGCCACCCCCAAAAGAACTCTGTAGAGCACTGGTATAGCGGAATCTATAGAAATTTCAAGGCCGACTTTGAAAGAATTATTTCTGTTAACTCGTACTCTTGGACATCGCCAATCCCGACGTATTCCGACGGCTGGACAGCCTCACCAGCTCCCCAGATGACTTCCTGAGTAATGTACGGCGCCGACGAAAAGCGGCTTGTGATGTTCGCGATATCGGTCGCAGCAATGTCTGGGTGGGTTTACTTTGGTCTCCTTTCCGTAACTAAGTGAAGAAAGAACCTACGTTTCGCGGCATCTAAACGCAGTCCGTCAACTCCCAGAGAAAGGAGATCGTTCGCATATTCGGCGAGACGCGCGCGGACATATTCCGTTTCAGTCGCAAGGCTGGAAAAAGATTAACTTGCTTGGCGAAGACAAAATTTTATGTGGAATGTACTCCGCGAGGCCGTCCAATTGGCAAGTTTGTACTTGTGCCCGACTGGAGTAGTCTTCAATATCGCCAGTGCTGGTGAGATTACAATGATGGAAATCCTGTCGGATGAGAATGGGTAAAAGAAGCAGGATAAGCTCGGGGGACCTACCTGGTACTCATAAATTCCTGGGTATACCTGTCGAGAGGGTTTAGAGTAATGGCCCAGACAAAATAAGAGCCATATCAACGAACATAGTGTGTGAAGGTATCTCCCGCAACGCCTACTCCTGAGTCTAAGCCGGTCATATGATTGAAGATGGTGTCTGCAGAGCAACCAGTGACGATAATATTGGAATAATAGAATAGAACAAGCATACCAGCGATTACCCTAACACCGGCGTCATGACACGTCGTTATCATGCTGTCCGGTATCTCAATAACCAATAAAATTGAAGAGCGTTGAAACATCAAACTTTGCGAATTCTTCCCTGTCACCACGCTTTGATATTAAAGTGTACGTCACTGGCTGGTAGTCCGTCCACCACTGGGTTCCGGTAATATGTTCCTGGGGTGGACTGACTGCCATTCGATCTTAGAGCGAAACCGCAAGACGAGAGACGTGCGGAACTTGCCTTGAACGAAACCATAGCCAGCGGGTCCGATGAAATCAGTGCATTCGGAAGCTACGCTGTCCCAAGTCCATTCGAACATCTGGATGATGACCGTGTTGTTTCCGGAAGGAGCACGACGTAGGGACGATAATGCGAGGACACATGGTAAAACGATAGGAAAGAGCCATGCAATGAGCATAGCGAATGAAGGCATTGCTATTGGGGACCATTATAGCGACGTTTAAATAAGCTTTGAATAGCTTGTGAAAACGTACATCGTGAACACGAGTGGCGCCTTCCATATGGATTACTGAGCGTGGCAAAACGGTCATGAAACAGTGACTGGTTGCTATATGAGTAGCCGATTTTTTCAAGGCCATCGTCAACATACTGCATCGACCCACTGCTGTGTGTTGCTCTCATGGAAGGATACAGAACATGAACGACAAGTAAACGCACGCTAAAGAGGACGTACTCGAACATTTGCCTCCGCACCTCATCTTCTGAAGCACATGGCTATCACAATTTTAATCGTCATATGGTCCTCAGACTAAAGGCACCTAGGTCATTCGGCAGTCACTACTGCGACCGGACCTTCCAGGTGAGATCATCAATGGTGATGGTGCGCGAGAAGCAGAGTGCAGTCTGTCACCGGGCTGGTCGGAATTGCGTCCAAAAGCTACTCGAAGTGATCAGAAGGCTAAGAAAATCTAAATGTTGTTACCGTTCAAGAAAATTCCGGTTAAAGGGATGGGTAACGAATTTCTTTTTTCGACAACTTCGACGTAAATCTCCAGAGGTTTCGTCCTTTGCGGTAACCGATGTCGGATCTTGATCACAGCTACCGCCTTGGTGAGTGGCTTGATGATACCTGGATTACTAATCCGGTTGAGATTGACGCGACGGGACCACATGTTAGCGATGTCGACAGCCGTATAGAGTAAAAGCATTCAAAGAAGGAGCGTGACATCGACGTCCGTCTGATGACCGTACATTCTATAAGGAGAGCATTACAGTCAGTAGCCTAGCACATTTTACACTTTTGTTAAACCCTCGAAATTTGAATCCCGATTCTTCTCTGACAATGGTGTACAGCAGGGCGTGGTCTACGCGCGTACCAGTGGACCATGGTGGGTTGTATGGACAGATTATACCCAAGGATCACGCGTTTTTTGACTGACGAGACGCCTGGTGGGCGCCGGAACAGCATCTTCACTGAACGACTGGCTATATTCGAACCTGTCAGGAAGGCTGTACATTGTCGATGATATCTATATAATAATCTATCTATATATTTATATAATAATAGAGGTCGACAATGATGACATAAGATAGCGGACTCTGAATCTTCGGCCATTGACATAAACCGGCAAATTCCAGCTGAGTTTGAACTTCACCTTCAAACACCTTTTCCTTCTTACCCTCTGCTCTGATCCACTCCCCCCTCACAGTGCATCAGCTCAGGCAAGAATTACAGCCCTTTTTACATATAATAAGAATTTTTAGGATCTCTCACAGTACTGTCTATAAATCTTTGATTGAAGCTCTTTGTTTCTAATTTTTAATTTTCTCTACAGGTGTCTCTGTCTTTTTCTTGCACAGTGTTGCTACTCATTACACCTCTCCATACTCTGTGATGTGTGTACCATTTCTGTTTTTTTTAAATCAATGCTCACCACTTTCTTTTTATAGGTGTCCATCTACTTCTACTAGAAAGAATGATTATTTTGATTTTTCAGCTTCAATTACACCAGAGCAGAATCATATCCAGGTTCTGATCCTAATATTGAACTTCTACATTTTAATATACTATCTGAGACTCATATTTCATCTCAGTTAGACTATCCACATAAACATGCCTGTAGTATCAGCTCTTTCCATTTTTTTCTGCCAAAGATAAATGTTATAGACAATTATGTGATGCTGCTCCTAAGTGACAGTCATCTGTGCTTGATAATACTTCTGTTTCATGTGGTACTCAAGGACATAAGCAAGAAAGAACTATTGAAATTCATTCTCTACATACTGAACCACTACAAAATATTAACCAAATAACTTCTATTGAGCATCAACAGCAATCACTATCACTCACCAGAGAGTCACTATCTCTATAGCCACTTTTATCATTACTACATCAGCATTAACTGTCACATGCTGTTTCTATACCACTTCCTCTGGCAAGATGTCTATATGCTGAGGTGCACTCTCAATATAATATTAAAAGTAGAAATAGAGTTTGTGAATATTATAGAGGATTACATTGGTATAATGAATGACTTAAGCATAAGTCAAGAGTTAATCCACAATTTGAGATATGTTGTCTACAAGAACAAATCAAATTACCACATCTTCTTCCTGCTCTTGCTCAATTGGCATTTATATCTTTGGCTGCAATAGTTGATAAGACAATCACCAATTCTTCTGGACCATATTGCTTTCATGTATCTGAAGAGCTTCATCATCATATAGGATCTCTGCTGGCAAAGAAAGGAGAGGAATTATCTTATACACAGCTGATTTAGCAGAAGCATTAAGTATGTGCAATCATCACAATCCCAATCTAAAGTCTGAAATCATGTCTCAACTACAGAATTTACTGCATGATGTAAATCTATATGTTGCTTTATATCACTATGCATATCTTATTATAAAAGACAAGCCCTATGAAAAATATCCAAATATTGAAGTACAATTGCATGTTGGCAATAGTACTGATGGATGATGATATAATCTTCCAACAGTAGATGAGTTAGCTGCTATTATTTTTGAAGATAGATCTGAGATTATTAAAAATGATTGAGATATTGTTTTACATATACATAATCATTCTCTTCAATATATTAGCCAACTTCATCCAAGTTATCAATCTCTTTATTACATTCTTCTTTTTCCCTATAGAGAATTGGGTTGGAATCCAAATATGCTTCTGGAAGATACTGGAAAACATTCTCATACAGAATATAAAAGGCTTACTCAGCATATATATTATGCTTACTGCCTACATGATTGTCCAGCAATTAAACCAAATATATCATTGTTCAGAGGGGAGAGACTGATACAGCAGTGTGTTATAGATGCATCAGCATCAATTAAATAAAATGATCTCAACTGAGTTCAGAAAAGCCAGAAAACTATTTGTGCAGATCTATATAAGAGAATAGTTGATGCAGTTATGAATGAAAATGGATTTGAAAACACTGACCAGCATTTTATCTTATCATCATCATATACTGAAAGTTTCTGTGCAATGTATCAGCTGTATCAAGACTCTATAGCAATTTGCAGAGCTTTACAAAAGTCAGATATCTTTTTTACAATGACAGCCAATCCACAGTGGCCAGAAATTGTAGAGGTTTTGAAGTGCACAGATGAACCAGATCAAAAAGTGGAGGATCAACCAAATATTGTGGCAAAAGTCTTTCAGTTGAAAAAGAAGACCTTACTGAATAAAATTAAAAAGAGTGATATACAGTTGACTATCTCACAATACATATAGTCAGGAGACACCAAAACTGTATGTGTTTATAGATTTATGCAGAACCAAAATAGCATGTGATGTGACATGTGACTTTATGTGACAA